GTAATGCATCGTCACCGTCTGTTTACGACAATTTCACACGCACCGAGCGACAGGTGGTAGAGGTAAGAAAGAGGCACCGAGTGGAAAACGCGGATGGTGTAAATGCATGCATGCGCCTCCCTTCCCCCACCAGCCCTTGCCACGACCACCGAGGAGACTTTGCCCAGAGTAACTCCAGAGTATCGTCTACACTGCCAACAGTGCTCGCTTGCTTGCAGGCTTGGTGAATGGTGGGAGGAGGGAATAGTGGTGATCTTGACTAAGTGGCGAGAATACGAAGCAAATGTGGGAGGTGGTAGAATTGTGCTGTGGCCACTGGAACACGTCAGTTGTGGCAGATGTCATTGTGGGTTGATCACATGGTAGTGGAGTGGAGGTGGATGCAATCCGAGGCTTTGGGGGTGGGCAAAGTAGACTTCACTCACCTCGTCGATGTCAGCATTCCACGGTTGTGACGAGGACAACACTGCGATTGTGGTCACCGTGGTGTTTTAGTTAGTTGGGGACTGACGTGGCGAAGGGAAGGCGGAGCAGAAGATGGTCCACTCTACCTCCACTTTGAACGGCTCGCCTCCCTGCTTTGACAGTCGTGCCAACACGAACTGCTTGCAAGCACTCTTTGCCACTTCACCGTAGAAAAGACAACGCCGAAAGTTGGGAGCACGGAGGAGACCGCGGATACAGACAAAAGAGTTGAAACACTGGCCACTTGTGAGTCTGCCTTTGTCATTACCACCTGCAACTCTGCCCATTCCTCCTACCGCTGGCATTTCGTGCCACACCTTACTCCCACACATTGGTCCACCGACTTTGTGCAGTTGGCTTCTCACCATCCTACCACTGTAATGCGATGCCTCTAATGAAATGACAATTCTTTTACGCAGCCGAAAAAGGAGGGAGCGCTGTCACGACTAGCGGATCCGCGGTGGCCTCCACGGTTGCGGCGATTCTCGCTGTCTGCGCGGCGACAGCATTGGCCTGAAGTTTTGCGTAGGTTTCTGTTGTCTAACTGGTCCCTCTTTCCTCAATGTGTGCTGACCAACTGAATCCTTTCGCCTTGCAGGCATCCAGCGCGCTGACCCACTTCCACTTGTCCTCGCCCAACAACAACATTAACAACAACAGTGCAGTCGCCCTTTGTGGGAATTCGGTGTGAAGCTAATGCAGACATTTGTCACTCGCCAATACAATTCGACAGTGTGTGTATTCCAACTTTTGCTTGCCTCACGTCGTCTACTTTAAGTGGGTGGGTAAGTGAAGAGGGCGGGGTAATGGAAGACACAAGGTGATGTTGTTGCCATTAGAGCAGCTTCAGAACGCTCGACACACTCCATGTGAATGTTCTTTAGCCTGCAATGAAATGCCACTCCATGAGTGGTGCGTTGAGTGTGCGTTGTGCTTGATCACCTTCAACCAGTCCTATTGACTTGATGAGCTACAACATTGTGCGTCTGAGTGGTGTCGTGTGGAGGGAGTTGTGGAATGCTGGTCACCTGCATTGGCGTACACGAATGCTGTGCCTTGCAGCGTGTCCTGCTTGCTGTAAAAAGAGGCGAAAGGGAAGGGAGTTGGGACTCTTTGCCAAGGCGACGTGAGAAGTGGTTGGTGCTTTCACCAAACCGCAGCCCATAGTTACAGCTTCACCTTTCGTCTGTTGCTGCGTCTCTGCTGTGCACCGACAACTAAGACGGTGTCACTCGTCATTCCCAACTCACCGACTGTCTTGCGATGGATGCGATGAGAAGACGCACAAACTGCCAAGCAGTGCCCTTACCTCTCAGCCAATTCGCACACTTACTACATACCTTCCCTTCGAACCTAATTCCTCTGCATTCCCCTCGTCACTCGAGTGGAAACAGCAGTCGTGTAAACTAAAATTACTTTT